GCATGCTGATGGGCGGTGCTACTGGTTCGTAGCGTCTCGGTGCCTTGAAAACGGTTGGTTCCAAAGTCGATCGTCGTTTTTGTTGCGTTTCAGCGGGTTCGACCAGGCGACTTGAAGCAATGGGGATGGAATAATGGAATTGTTTCCAAGGTGCGACGAATGGGGGATAAAGCAAAATGTGCTGCCTCAGTCACAGTGTGGTTCTGGTAGTGTACGGATAGAGCGTGAGAGAGCCAAACGGGCCATGGCAAGCCGCAAGGCGATGGTCGTCGACGACGTGGACAAAAAAAAAAAAGTCTGTGCCCAGACGCGCCGGTGCAACGCGCCCGGAGACGGACGCTGGACGACCTGACAGAATTACATCACCAATAATCCTTTCTGCCCGTGTTTACAATACACAACCTGATCAAATTGAACAACAAGGGGTGTGGGTTTAAGAAGAGTCGCCAGCTGAGAGCCTGCCCAACAACCAATTGAGTTTTGCTCTTGCTTGCCGGGAACCCGATTTAGCTCCATCCCACCTTCCCGCCATCTGTAGCCACACCCCTCTTTCCTCTTAGGTTCATATCAATGGAGACCCACGCCTTCCCGTCCCCTGAATTGGATTCGCAAATGTCTTCCCAGGAGAAACGTCCAAGCAGGAAAGAACAGCTGCCATCCAGCCAGTCAAGGACGATGGTGCGGTTGTCTGACAGACACAGGAGACACTAGAATCCACTAGGCGAATGAACGGCTGCTGCTCCTATCCCCCCTTCCCTTCCCTTTCCTTTCCTCTTCCTTTCCTCCCCGGGCGCGGTCCACCGTCCACGACTCCTGTCGGTCCTTTCCTTGGCAAGCTGGCAAGGCAAGGGAAATCTGGACCAGGGCCGCAAAGTCTGGGAGGAGACTCGGAGACTGGGAACGAGGGCACACGGTGGAGACCTTCACCTCCCAGAGTCTGGGGGGTGTGGGTTGCAAAGAACGGATTCCACTTTGCGGCTTGCCCTGCTCCTCCTTCTTGGTTACTCGCTCGTGCGAATAATAGGTAGGTAGCGTACGCATGCTGGACACTAACAGCCTGCCAGGTAATGTACGGATCCCCAGCACTGCTACGTACCTTAAGGTACTGCAGACCACCACCGTCAATCACGCCGTTTTTTAATCATCCACCTCCCTCCTTCCCGCCCGACCTCTCTCTTTCTCTCCCTCTCGTCATTCTCTCCCAAAATCCTCATCCGACCTCTCGTTGCCGTTTCCCCGGGTTCGAGTGCGCCTCCCTTTCCTCTTCAATAAATCCACACAGTCAACTCCCTCGCTTTGGTTGACTCTTTTTTTTCCTCATCTACCTTTCACTAAACCGACCAACCCTTTTAATCAACAACCCTTTCGGACTCCGAAACTTCACCCCTTTCGCAGCTCACATCCAATTGTTCCTCACTCTTTCGGAACATTCTATCGCTTGGCACTTTCTGATCATCACCTTGGGTTTTTGGGACTTCACTTTGGTTCCTTCACACACATCTTCACAATGAAGTCTGTCGCTGCCCTCTCCGCCCTTGCGGCCCTGTCCGTCGTCTCGGCCAAGCCTACTGCTACTGAGCGCGAGGCCCCCATCAAGGCCCGTTCCTTGCCCGCCGTCTCGGCCTCCGGCAACGGTATGAATTACCAAATATCGCCTCGTTCTGACCCAATTGACTGACATGTCCTCGAATAGCTTTCTACGCTGATGGCACCCGCTTCTACGTCCGTGGTATCGACTACCAGCCCGGTGGCTCTTCCGAGAACGTCGACCCCCTGGCCGATACCACCATCTGCGGTCGTGACATTCCCAAGTTCAAGGACCTCGGTGTGAACACCATCCGTGTCTACTCCGTCGACAACTCCAAGGACCACAAGGAGTGCATGCAGAAGCTCGCCGACGCTGGCATCTACCTCGTTGCCGATGTCAACAACCCCAAGTACTCCATTAACCGTGCCGACCCCCACCCCTCTTACAACGCCGTCTACCTTCAGAGCGTCTTCGCCACCGTCGAGGAGTTCGCCCAGTACGACAACACCCTCGCCTTCTTCTCCGGAAACGAGGTCATCCACGATGAGGCCAACACCACCTTGACCGCCCCCTACGTCAAGGCTGTCACCCGTGACATCAAGAACTACATGGCCTCCCGCGGCCTCCGCCATGTCCCCGTCGGCTACTCTGCCGCCGATGTCGCCGACAACCGTATGCAGTCCGCCGAGTACTTCAACTGCGGTAGCGATGATGCCCGCTCCGACTTCTTCGCCTTCAACGACTACTCCTGGTGCAGCTCCAGCTTCAAGCAGTCTGGATGGGATGTCAAGGTTAAGAACTTCACCGACTACGGTATTCCCATTTTGTAAGCAACATGAACATCCACTCTCTATTTCGTCTAAGCTGACCAATGATACAGCCTGTCTGAGTACGGTTGCAACACCAACACCCGTACCTTCGACGAGATGGAGGCTCTCATGAACTCTGAGATGACCGGTGTCTACTCTGGTGGTCTCATGTACGAGTACTCTCAGGAGGCCAACAAGTACGGTATCGTCGAGATCAGCGGCAGCACCGTCTCCGAGCTTGACGAGTACGCCAACTTCAAGAGCGCTCTCTCCAAGTACCCCGCTCCCACTGGTGATGGTGGTGCCGCCGCTACCTCCCACTCTGTCGCTTGCCCTACCTCTGACTCCGTCTGGATGGTCGACCCCACTAAGATCCCTACTATCCCCTCCGCTGCTGAGAAGGTAATTCACCTCCCTTTTTTTCCCCCTGAAACGAGTAGACCGCTAATAATTCACAGTACATGACCGCTGGTGCTGGTACTGGCCCCGGTCTGGATGGCGATGGCTCCCAGACCGCTGGTGACTCTGCTTCCGACGGCGAGACCACCGGAGGTGTTGCTTCTGCCACTGCTTCCGGCGGCGCTTCCGCCACTGGCTCCTCCAACGCTGCTCCTGGCTTGACCTTCGGCAGCCCCATTGAGAAGGCTCCTTTGGCTGTTGCTGGTCTGGCCGCCATGTTCACTATGTTCGGTGCCTTCCTGTTGTAAGAACTGAAGCCATGAAGATTGGCCCCAGCTATTGCTGGATGTACAAACGATATCCAAAGGGCATTTGCTCTTAATTCGCATGAAGCACTAGATTTGATGTACGGCTTGGCCGCTATTTCGTTAGTTTATCAATGACACCCAGGGTACGGGCGTCCCCGGCTTCTGGAACAGTGAATAACACGGCATGGAAATGGTTTTCTTTGGAGTTGAGTCTTGGTGCTGGCTGTGCTGCTTTACAAAAGCCACAAAGGACCATGAATCCTTTTCTATGCAGGCGCAAGATATTTGTACGTATTGTTGCGAAAAAGCAACGACGATTGTAATTCATTTGTTTGATTATGACGTGGTTCTTTCATCGACTCTACCAGTGTGGCCCCCAGTCTCCTAGATGCATGATTATGTACTGAGGCCAAGAACGTCCCGTCTGTTGAATTGAAGTTGAAGTTGAAGTCGATGTCGAAGCTGAAGTCGAGGCTCGAGCCCTGCACAATTCGGCACGGAACTTTGCAGTGGTCTGTGGGCTAGTTCAAAGTTCAAATCTTCAGACGCTATTTGCCGTTGTCGAAACGATGCCAAACAACGCAAGCCCTGTGTCACACCAAGGCAAGAACTCGATGTTCGGAGCCATCATCGTTACGATGGTGCTATAGATGCTATTTCAACCAAACAGCCGTTAGACTATGTAGGACCGTGAGGGTCAAAAAGAACTCCCATAAAACTACATAGAGCACATGGGCCTTAAGACGCTTCCTCTGGAACAGAACTTCGAAGTATCTCTAGAGGCGACGCCGAGTCGGAGCCGGGGCATGTCGTCCGTTGGATCGACGGGGAAGACGCCGTAGACTGCTCCGGCAAAAGTGGAGAATGCGCCGTAGCTTCCGCTAGTCGCCGGCTATTGCGTGGTTGCCAGCGCACGGCACGGGGTTGGGTGCCATAATCTCAACTCACTTACCTCATAGCTTTGTCGGCGATATTCAAGGCAGGGCTGCTTCGATCTGTCGGTGCTACGTATTTTTCCAGGCGACGACCCCCTTTACTCCTTTCGTCAACCACGGCAGCCATTACCAGTCTTCTATTCTAAGTTCCTGTTTATCTGCGACATACCTGGTCAAGCCTACTATCAGCGCGGGTCTCCAGAAAAATGTCTCCGCCACCACAAGCGTTTGATCCCAAGACGCTTCCTCTCGGTGGTTATTCCCATGAGTTTTCGGTTCCGCCGGGAAAGCGGCAGTCTAGCGGAAATCCGGGGCACGTTGCAACGGGTCAATATTAATATGTAAGATGATTGGTGGACTAGGACGAGCACGTATTTGGGGAAAGTGACCTTCAGGCCAATTGGCGTCGAGATCCCCCGCCCGAACACAACACTCCTTCTCTTCAAGGCATATCCTTTGAGGGAGAAGGGGACCTGCCACCCGACCTTCTACCACAGATTTCCTGACGGCTTGGCGGGGATAAATCAGGTCATGATTGAACTTCGGCTCCGAAGGTTCCTGATTTCCTCGTACGGAAGTCTCTGCTGATCCTTTCTATTGTCGCGGCACAAGTCCAGATAACTTCGAGGTATGCCCTTCGAATCGCTTTACATGCCGAATATCCGGCCCCGTCCCATACACCCAATGATTCTTGGCATGGTAGCTCTTTGGTTCTACCTCATAGGATGGCGCTCGAGTCTCCGATAAAGCGACAGTGAACTGCATTTTTTTAAACACTCGGGGTTCGTCTATTTGCTGCAAAACTCTCTTTCGCGGGAGACCCCGCTCCCCGGCAGTGTCGCAAGTAAAAAGCAGGGGACTCCTCGCTTTCAAGTGGCCGGTCAAGCCATCTGAAATACAGACTTGGGACCACCTTACTTCAGTTTCAACTTACATTCTCCATCCTTTACATCGCAACAATACTTAAAGATGGTGTTCTAGTCCGTCGATCCGGGAGGGAAGCTAAAGAACAAAAAGAACCATGCGCCAAAGAAAGGCCGCGCGGCGATTTGGGCCAGTCTTCGTGGCAGCCACTCTCGTCCTCGTCACTTACGTTCTCTTCTACCCACAAGGTAGGCTCTGGAATCCCCTGACAGGATATTCGTCCACGGCGGTGTCCTTTGACTGGAAACAGAAGACTGGCCTTCCGGCGAAATCGGCATCTGACTTTGAAAACCTCCATCTGAACGAGGAACAATGCCAGGCGACGTTTCCTGGCCTGACGAAGGAGATTGACCTCGCCGCGGCAGAGGGAGATTTCCAGCTTGGACTTGGCGATGCTTCCGTCTCGCTGCTGGGGCAGATCAAGGACAATAGGATACTGATACTGCAGGCGCCGAGACCTGTAGACATGTCAGATCAATGGATCGAGGTGAGTCCACCTCAATGCTATACTTCCACCTCCAGCAGAAGAAGATTCAAAGATCCATGAATTCGCAGAATCTAACACAAAGACCCAGCGACAAAGTGCCGCCCTCCACCAGCTGCACCGCGCCATCCTCACCTCGCCAACCCCTCTACCAGACACCTACTTCAACCTTTACATCCAAGACACACCCATCAAACACACCTGGTCCCATAGCCGTCCGGCGTGGACTTCCTCCTCCTCCTCCTCCTCCTCCTCCTCCTCCTCCTCCTCCTCCTCCTCCTCCTCCTCCTCCTCCTCCTCGCCCCCACCATCATCGTCGTCGTCGTCGTCAAGACACATCTTCCCCATCCCCCACTTCTCCTTCTGGGCATGGACCCAGCCCTTCATCCGCTCCCTCCCCCACGCAGCCACTGCCATCACCGAGATCGAAGCCAGCCTACCGTTCGAAAAGAAGGACGCCCGGGCCGTGTGGCGCGGCACATCGTGGTTCAACAACGGCGCGAGCGCGAACCCGCGATCCCGACAGGATCTCATCCAACTTACAAAGAACGCGGGATGGGCCGACGTGCAGGCGCTCGAGTGGACGAACAACGGGGAGAACGCGACGAACGCGCTGGCGATTGAGGATTTTTGCAGGTACAAGTACATCATCCACACCGGGGGCGTGTCGTACTCCGGAAGGCTGCAGTTTCATCAGCTCTGCGAGAGCGTGGTGTTGAGTCCGCCGTTGGAGTGGATGCAGCATACGACGCATCTGGTCGAGCCGGTGTACTCGAGCACCCTACTTCAAGGCAAGCCAGAGTCTGAGACTGCTTCCCAAGCCAAGCCCCGAGACGGACAAAATCAACGTCAACCTTTACCGAGAACACTCGAGCAGTGGCCGATGACGCTCCGCCCAGAGGACGCCAACATGGTCTTTGTCAAGCCGGACTGGTCGGACCTGGAGGCGACGGTCCGCTGGTTGGAGGAGCACACGGATGTGTCGCAAGGGATTGCGAGACGGCAGCGGGCATTATTCTCTGGTCGGGGGTATCTGAGTCCCGCGGCCGAGGTGTGTTACTGGCGGGCTCTTACCAGGGCCTGGAGCCGGGTTGTGCGCGTTGATGATAATGATGTTGGCCGGAAGAGTGCTGACGCGGTGAGCTTTGAGGAGTTTATTGTGCGGGTTGAGAAGGCGAAGAAGAGAGGTCATTGAGAGATGTACCGCGTGATTTTTGGGTGGGATATTACGTATGCCGACCATGGCGACGTCGAAAAGCAAGGGCGTTGAAGTTTTCTTTTTCGTCTGGATCTTCCCTTTGCGCTCGCGCGACTCATCGCTGAGTTTGGCCATATGGCTAGGGGAAACTCCTCTGATGAGAAGAAGAGAAGCTGGTAGGATTCCCCCGGAGAATTCGACAGTGCCTATACGAATTCGGGTTCCAATGACTATCGCCGTTCGATCCAAAGTCGGATGACGCGAACACACTTCAGATTTTCGGCCGCGAGCCCGGCGACATGAAGGGAAACGGAGAAAGAGCACTCTGGATCCTGAGTCAAACCTCACGACGAGGAATTCTTGACCTAGGCAACCCTGAATATTGCCAGATCCTCGGCTGGGGTCCGCAAGAGTACTTACGCTTCACTTGACATCTGTCGAGTCTGGCAGCTGGGTGAAGTGCCTATTCGCAGGGAAATCATCGATGGTGTGTTCGCTCACGTCTGTCTTTCTTCTTCTACATGCCTCATGCGGTCTTGTTGTTCCTGCCGAGTGCCTTTGAGGAGAAGAAGGAAAAGCCTGTATCTTCGATGGGCACCCGCGAGTTCTTGGACTCCAAGAAGCATCACCACTGGATCTAAGTCTGGGATATCGCAATGACCTCTACTTGCGGTCCCAGGTCCGTTGACAGTCACCGAACGGAAGATTATACAGGGCATTTTCTTCCACAACTCAAACATCACAACGGGACTCCGTTGCTCAAGACAACTGTGAACATGACCGAAATCTGACGATTAGAAAAGTAAGAAAAAAAAAGCACAGAGGATCTTTGCACCAGGATCGACAATCGACCGACGCTCCAAGCTTACGCGGTTCTCGGCATGCAATAGACGCATAGCGTCTCGGCGCAAACGTGCTCCGGCTCCCACCTAATGCCTGGCTGGATGTGGGAACTTCGGGGAAGGGTGAGATGCCTAGAGCGGAAGGTACATGTTACCTACGTACGCTGATCAAGTCTTTGCCTGCCGGAGGGGTGACTTGGCAAAAGGAATCATCAAAGCGAACCTGGGAGATTTCGTGACAGTCACCCCCATTACACGCAGGGTCAGGTATGGTGGGGGGGGGGGGGTCTTGCCCAGGTTCTCGTTCTGTCATGGCGCCCGTGGTTCCGGTATCCTGGGACTCGAGCAGACGAACGCCATCCCTCTGGCGAGCAGCGGAGTTTACCGCAGCTCTTATTATATACGGGCGGGTGGTTTACTACTGTTGGAACCAACAGGTTGGTGACTCGGGCATATCCATGGGATTTGATAGGGTTGGACATGGTTGGATATGGTTGGACAGGGTTTCTTATTCAAGCTCTCCGTACGTCTGATCGGCAGCGGAAATTGGCGAGTCTCGAGCAGTCTTGAGAGTTGAAGACGGACAACAGCACCAGCAGCGGTACATAGACGAACGTGACCGGATATCGAAAGCATAATTCCACCACTGGAATGCCAATCAACGATCACGAAAGTTTCCGTACTGGAACCTGATCTGGATCTTTCTCCAACGCCCGATTGAATTTGTAATGGAATGGGCCATGCCATAGCGAGCATCACATGGAAAATGATGTGAAGCACAGAAACGGAATGTTTGCCGGGCACTTGTGTCCGGGCCTCGGTGACTCCCATGATCGTCCATCCCCCTCACTACAACTTCAACCCACCTCGCCTCGCGAAAAGCTGGGTCTGGCGGGAAGCGAATGGACATCGACCTCGATGCATCTCGACAAATACGGTCGAAGGGGAAAAATTGCGTTGCGTGCGTGATGAAGCGAAGCTGCTGAGTGCCGACAGGGTAATACAGAAAAAAGGCCCAATTTGTGTTGTGTAACTGTAACCTTGGCAAGAGGAACAAATTTGTGACATATCAGCTTCCAGCCATGCAGTGCAGGCAGGGCACACAGACACAGACACGGACGTATATGCTCACTCACGACACGACACGACAAACCAGCTCTCTGGGACGGGCAAACTTGTGTCTTTCCCGGGAGGAGGAATTCATATGTCTTGGGTTCAAACGAAACTACGAAAGATAGCTAAAGGGAAATGTGTGTCAGATGGGAGGGGCAGACAATCTGCCTTGGGCTATGGTTGGGTAAAGTGGTTGGTTTACACACTCAAAACTCACACTGTCACTTATCTCATACATCCATGTCTCTTCCTCCTTCTTCCTCCAACGAAGGAACGCCTCGACTCAACGATGGACAGCAAAAAAAAAAAAAAAAGCTGGGAACAGGGCCCGAGAACCGGGGACAGCATTCTGACCTCTAAGCTCTGGGCGTTTTCTGTGCGGCACAGTAAAACTAGTGCCAAACCTGTCCGCCCATTCAGATCCCGAGGGGCGGGTCAGAAACCGTGCAGGTTGGCTTGTTTAGTTGTTGTTGGTGCAGTGCGCATGCACATCACGCCCTGCTGCATTTGCCTAGACTGGGCCTTTCCTATCCGTGGACCCGTCCGTCACACCGTCTTTCGGACGGTTCCAACGTTGGTTTGTGAGTGCTGCGGATACCTAATTACTATGAGAAGTAGCCTTTGGATGAAGTGAGAGGCTTCACTAAATGAACCAGAAGAAGAGACGGAGTGATTATTCTCTCTCGTCTTAGGTACGAAGCGTGCGTGAGAGGATGCGACTTCACTTCTACTCACTTGCCATAAGCAAATCACGTTCTGTCATTCCATGAACTCCTTTTTTTTTTTTTTTTTTTTTTTTTTTTTGGCCCGCTGCCAACTAACTGGCTTGTGCAGCTCCCCACCGCATAGCTGCATAAAAGTCGTGATCCTAGGAGGGGACGGCCTGGTGGTGGTGTTGAACAGTGATATCTAGGTTGTCGGTTCCGAGCCACATGGGAGCTTTTCTTCCCACCCCCCTCTCTCTCTCACCCTCGTGTCAGATGTCACATTGGCATCTCTTTGTCTCTTTTTGTTTCTGAATCCCTCCGGTTGGTGACGAGCGAGGTAACAATGGCTCGGTTAGATAGTCGATTAGGGAACTTCTGGCTTGTTTTCCTTCTTGAACCACGATCCGTTTCTGTTTCTTTTCGTTTTCTCCCGCAGCTGTGGCACCCCGTTTTCCTTTTCTGCAGCCGTTTGCATATGGCTGAGCCAGATAAAAACTTCGTTGGTTGTGACTTTCTGAAAACGTTGTGCATATCCATTGCTTTTTACCCCTCCTCATGCAGCAGTCCACACCACTAGGTAGAAGGACCTAGAAAAGAATTGCACCAGAAATTACAACGGAGAAAAAAAAAAAAAAAAAAAAAAGCAATGTCAGCAAAGGTTCGAGAGAGATAATAAGAAAGATAGTTCTTGATAGTAATTAGTACCCAGTCCCGGCGATTCGGTGTCCCCCTCCCCTTTCCCCTTTATCGGCCGATAAAAAGGCCACTCGCCGTCTTCCATTCTCCACCCCTGCTGCTCCCCTCCCCCTCCAAGAGAACGTCCTGACATCCGGTAGCAAATCGGGGAAGAAAGCGCCAGGTCCCAAAGTTAAACACATCTAAAAGGGGGTTCTTTTCTGTCAATCCCACGCAGGTTACTTGGCCAGTGAGTGGCCCGGGAAGCTTGCTCGCCCATGTGCTCCAACGAATATCCGTAACTAAGGTCCGGAGTAAGGTAGAGACTAAAACAATTAGCAGGATGGGAGGCGAAGGGAGGGGGGGGGGGGCCGCCGAACCAGAAATCCCAGGTCCCAGGGTCCAGGGTCCCCGGGTTCGTGGGTACCTATCGTGTCAGTCAGACGACGCAGCAATGATCCGAATGGAGGGACTCAGTCGAACAAACAACCACGACCAAAAAATCCAAACAACCACCACCAACCCAAGTCCCAAGTTCCAACCCGTTGGGTCTGGCAAGTCTGGGTGTCTGGGTCTCCCCGTGTTTTCGTTCCCGCCTTTCCCGCCCTCGCGGATTCAGACCGACCAAGGCCGACCCAGCTGTCTGGGTCCATCGCGCTCACTCTGAGATTCTGACACCCACCTCATCCAACTCTCATCCACCCACTCACTCACTCAATCACTCACACTCACTCACACACAAAGCTCATACACTTCCCCCCTCCCGCCCTCCAACTACCTCAACATCCTCAACCTTGAGCTCAATAATTCAAACTTTGTTTTCCATCGGGATCTGGTCTGGTGCTCGTCCTCATTTGCCACTACTCTTGCGAACCTTCTCAGCTCCGGTTTGCTCGTTATCTACTCGGTCGTTCGATTCTTCGCCGTCCGTCTTCCATGCCCAACTGCATCCCCCGCTCCTATACAAAAAGAGGTTCACAATTGTCTTGATAGCCGCGAGGAGGGTGGCGAGTGCATCATCATCATCACCAGCAGCACCAGAAACACTTCAACTTCCCGAAAATACGTGCACATATTCCACCAAAGCGTTACAGGAACAACGCCAGAAGCGTCTTTCTTCCTTTGTTCCAATCATCTCGACGACGATCGATCGCGAGAAGCCGACACAATCGCATCCACTCGTTCCATCGAGTCTTCCATGAGGCTGGCGCTCAACCGGAATCGAACAGCCCATCGTTCCGAATCCGTCAACGTTAGCTCATAATAAAAAAGCTCCGGTAGACGGGTGAATAGCGCCGCTGCTAAAGTATCCAGCGTAGCCCGCTATTCGAGCTTCGAGCTTCGCACCTCGTCTTGTGTCACCTTGTTCATGTCGCAGACCACAGTCATGTCCTTTCTCCCCCCAGGTGTCGCTGATGGTCGTCTTCATGGTTTCGAGTTCACATTTGAGGCAATTCCCGACAAGTCATCCCTGCACGACAGCCATATCGAAGTTGACGTACGTTTTGACTTGGACCCCTTATTTTATCTTTTAAAAACCAGGTCTAATTACCTATCGTTCGTCCGATGTCACTAACAAACTCCGCAGCCCGATCCTCATGAGGGGTAATGCCTGCCACATGGAACTACTTTAGCCTCATCTACATCGACTAACAACGTTCGTGCAGGGAGACTGAATCACTACCCGACGACGTCGAGTGTTTTCCCAGACATTTCGGCAGGACGTATCATGCATATCGAGCAGGCTGTAAGTATTTGATAGCTTTCCCCCTTTTTCTCGGCTCTTATTCGGGAAGCTCACACTTCATACAGCCTATGTCTTCCCTAACGACCCTGCAGAGCAGGAGCGTTTAGACCTTCAATCGCTTGCACTCACAGAATTGTTCAGCGGCAGGTTGCATTTCGCCCCGATCGCCGTCGAAGGGAGTCCCAAACGGATTCTCGACGTCGGCACAGGGACGGGGGCCTGGGCCATGGATATGGGAGATGTATACCCGGAAGCCAAGATAGTCGGTATCGACCTGTCACCGATTCAAAGTAACGCGGTTCCACCAAATGTTCACTTTTACATTGAAGACGCGTGAGTTTCGTGACTTTTCACCCGACAGTAGTTTTATTCCTGTACACACCGTTCTGACATTCTGCTGGCAGCGCACAATCGTGGCAATGGGAAGAACCCTTCGACTACGTTCACACCCGCGTTCTGCTCGGGTCATTTGGCGATTTCAAAAACGAAGTCATACGGCAGGCCTTTGACTCTCTCCGCCCAGGCGGCTGGCTAGAGTCCCAAGATTTCAACCTAGAGGCGACGAGCGATGACAACACACTCGCCCCCGACTCACCTTTATCTCGCTGGGTAGACGACATGAACCTCGCCAGTGAGATGATCGCGCGCCCCTTGTCTAGAGCACACATGCTGCGAGAGTGGTATGAGGAGGTGGGCTTTGTGGATGTCCACCAGCGCGTTTTCAAGATCCCGATCAACGGGTGGGCCAAGCACCCCAGGCACAAGCATGTCGGGAGGCTGTGGGAGCAAAATTTTCTAGATGGTCTCAGCGGCTTCAGCATGGCACTCTTTACACAAGTGTTGGAAAGACAGCAGGAAGAGGTGCAAGTAAGTCTTACTCGACAGGAATTTTTCGATACTCGATTTTGTTTTTCTGACATGCAGTGTGTGGCATAGGTATCTCTGGTCGATGTCCGCAAAGACATATCCAATATGCAAATACACGCTTATCAACACGTCTGGGTTGTATGGGGTCGCAAACCATACCCGGATGAAGCAATTCCTGCCCAAAGTCCGCTGGAGAACAAGGAAATGGCCGACTGAAACGAATTACATGATCTAACGAACTCTCTAATAGACGGGGGTTTCTTTGTATATGGCGAAGCCGGAGTCTTCACCATTCCCCCCCCCCCCCCCCCCCCCCAATTTTTTTTCCTTCTGATTTCCACGACAAACCTGTCAGACGGCGATTTCGACTAGGCTGTGCTTCAAACGAGAAACACCAGAACGCGTGCGACAAAAGCCCAACATAACTCGCTAGAAAATCCATGAGCATACAGATGAGCGAGGAAATATAGAGGTAATGCGATTCAACGGTTTAAGCGGCGCACATAGGCCTATACGATCGTGACTCTAGAAGAAAAATACTGCATAGCACAAAAAGATACCACCTTACTTGTTCTTCCAATCCTTTCCGAGCTCTCCGAGCTCTCGGCATCTTATTCATTCCTTTTCCTACCTTTCAAGGTCTTTCTTTACTCTTTCTTGATCAGCCACTCCAGCCCCTGCGCCTTTCCCTCACCCACCAACTCAACCAGCTTCTTCCGCGTCAAAAAGTTCTGATCACAAGGCTCCCACCCCGGCACGGCAACCTCGGTAATCAGCAATCCCTCACTCGACGACGACGACGACGACGACGACGACGCGCCCTCAGCCTCGTCTGGCAATACGAAGCTGGCCTTGTAATCGCCTCCCTCGACAGTCCACTGCAACCTCTCGCCCGCAGCGACATTACCACCCACGACAAAACTCTCGATCACGCCGTCCGGGCGGAGAACGACGTAGCGGCCGCGGCCGCGGTGCAGGGAGTGCGTTATGCGCGAACGGTTGCGGTGGAAGTGGCCTATGGGCGAGGACGGGGTGAGGTAGTAAAATATCGCGGACGAGAGGGCGCGCCTCTGCTGCTCGGTCGTCGGTGGAGGGCAGTCTGGGTCGTTGGTCGATGGTGCTGCCTCGTCCGAGGCTGAGGCGGGCGTTGCTGGGAACGGGGAGGGGATCGAGGTCGGGGCGCGGTCTGTCTCTGCGTAGAAGCCGCCTTCGTAGTGACGGCGGAGGGAGAGGGCTGAGACGATCTTTGCGGTGGAGGGGGGATCGTGAGGGGTGGGCAGGACGGAAGGGGAAAGGTGGGAGAGATCTGGGAGTGAGATGGAGCCCATTGTTGGAGATTACGGGGTTGCTAAGTGTTTAGAGATCTTTGGAATATGAGATCTATGGGAGGATACGAGGCAAGAGACAAAAAACTGATCTAAGGGTTTGAACAGACAAGGAACCAGACTGATACTGAACTCTAGAAATCAACCATCTTCAGAATATTTCATTCATTAAATCTTCCCAAGCGTGAGGGAATTGTCACCCCCATAAGCTGACGGTCTGAGGTACTGACCCTAGCAGGGTACCGGGGATGATTGATCACAAGGAGCGGATGAAAGACCCATTCTGGTAGGTCAGCAAATAGAGTGATCCTCACGATAACTACCCGTGGATAAGAAGCAGCCAGCCACGTGTAAGTCCAGACCCAAGAACCAAATCAGTCGTGGTTTACAAGTCGTCATCTCCACTAAGGAATCTGGATGCTAGCTTGAGACGGGTGTTGACGGAGTATGGCATCCACAGAGATTTCAGGGCGCCGATGATGTATGAAAACATGAGATAAAGCTACACCTGAGGCTTGGATCTCTCATGGCGCAAGATGGCTGTATGCTTACAACACCAAAAGCCAAAAGTTGACGGGATCGTTATCCTTGTGGACGACGTAGGTAGGTAAAGTACCTTGAAGACTTGACCCTGCTGTGGCTGGTGAAGGTGGATTATTCAACGCCACACTTCTTATCGTTATCGCCGTCGTCAGCTCTTTCCATGGAAGAACTCCGAAATGGTGACAGCATTAATGAAGCTCTTCACATCGCACAATCCCACGCTCAATTCCCGCTCGCAACAGCTGCACCCGCTCCTCAATTGCGCAAAGGCTCTTGCGCCGAGGCAACGAAAGAAGCGCATACTCTCCTGCCTAGACCGCGTCTCCGGCGCGAGCCCTTGCGCCCGCAGCCATGTTCACCCTCCGCGCTCTCCTGCGGCCGCCCGCCCTCCGCGCCGCGCCCCGTCAACTCGCCGGCCTTTCTCTCCCCACCACACGACAGCAAGCCCGAGTCCCTCCTTTCCCGATAATACGAAATAATGCGCGGATACAGCAACAATACCCTCGACTCTTCTCCCAGACGATCCGGCGGCCGGCCGCGGGGAGGGGGCCCGGCGGCTACGACCCCCGCAACCCCGCCCACCGCGAAGTCATCCGAGAATACAACATCCGGACCGCTAAGCCTCTCATGACGGTCGACGACATCGGGCGCTTCTTCAAGTCCCGTGGCTTCGCCGGTACCGCAGTCGTGGCCGTCCTCGCGGGCATCGCTTTCGTATACTTTAACACCCAGACCGTCCCCGTCTCGGGCCGCAGGCGCTTCAACTGCTACTCCGAGGCCTCGGTCGAGACGCTGTCGGCCCAGCAGGTCAAGCGGGTCATCTACGACGTCGAATCCCAGGGTGGCCGGTTTCTCCCCTCGTGGGACCCGCGCGTGCTGATGGTGCAGCGCGTCATGCGCCGGCTCATCCCCGTCTCCGGGCTCGAGGACCAGGACTGGGAGGTGCGAGTGATTGACGACCCGACCACGCTCAACGCCTTTGTGCTCCCTGGCGGCAAAGTGTTTGTGCACAGCGGCATCCTGCGCCTGACGCGCAACGAGGACGGGCTGGCAGCGGTGCTGGGCCACGAGATTGCGCACAACCTCGCGCAGCACGTCGGCGAGCGCTGGACGCAGTCCATCGGGCCCAACATCTTTCTCGGCAGCATGGTGATACTCTCGGGCATGTTCCCGCCGGTCATGGCACTTGTGCAGTACCTGGGCACCGGATTCATGGATCTCATGTTTGCGCGGCCGATGGGGAGAAAGCAGGAGAGTGAGGCGGACTATATTGGGCTGATGCTCATGGCGGAGGCGTGTTACGACCCGCGCGAGGCCATTGCGTTTTGGCAGCGTATGGATATGGCGGCTAAGCAGGGGCAAGCCGAGGAGATTCCAGAGTTTATGAGCACGCATCCTTCGGTATGTTTTCTTTTGTTTGGCTTGTTCTACTTTTTTTTTAGGGCCGCAAGCTTTTTCCTCTCCTGCTTTTGGCCATTACTAACAGCTCATCAATAGAATGAACATCGAATTGAGGATTATCGAAAGTGGATGCCCAAGGCTATTGAAAAGTACGAGGCAAGCGATTGCAAGGGAACCGCTGGGTTCGCCAACATGTTTAGACGGGCACTGGATAAAGGAAGCATGATTGTACAATTTTAGAGTAGCTCCCACCCTCATGGGCGTGCGAGCGCATTTGCATAGCTAGCTAGGTGTTTATGGCGCTGGGTTTTGGACGGGGTCGATCATGGCACGCTGCTCCCGTGGATTTGCTTCTCTTTCTCGCTTCTCTTGTCCGAGAACTCCCCTACACACTGTACTAACAACGCCGCTCATAATCTTTATAGATATGCGCATGTAGTAAGAGAGAAGAGATCTCCGTACCATGGTCCCTACTTGGTGTGATCAGCAAGGCTATTTCTTTGCCCTCGGCATTGTTCCTATAATCCCACGTGCCTGATCACCCCCAGCATTACCCCGGGTATCCTTGACAGCCGGGGAGTAATCAAAAAAGAAAAAAAGGTCTAGAAAATCAAAGGTAGCACACACACCCAAAAGTAGTGTACAGCACTACAAACATTGCTATTCAAGGATGTGGGACAAAGTCCAGCGGAGCCTCGGATCTTTGGTCGCAGTGCCGATGAGAAATGCGAGTCTCGTGATTTGCTCCCGCATTTTGCTACTCCAGGTTTACTCCCGTGCTCCTCTCACCCTTAGAGCCTTAGTGCCGGCGGAGTCGCCCACCAACCCCCAATCAGCAGCGGACGAATCGAATGACGTCGCCCCGTTGTTCGCGCCTAGATGAGCCGAGGTAAGTTTGACTCGACAAGTGAGACGACCACACAACCACGCGCGCCAGCACCGCACGTACTCGGACCGGTGAGTGCAGTTCAGCGTGTGGTGCATTGCCGCTGCGACGACACCGAACAAACGCCAACGCCAACGCCAACCCCGTGCTTCCCCCATTTCCGTCGCTTTCCTCTCGTCAACTTACTTCCACCCTCATCAACCTCACACCAAATCTCGCCAGGCATCTATCTCACAACCTACACCTGTAATACTATCAGTAACTATCAGTAGCCTGTCAACACTTCGGCTTACAATAACGCAATCTACCGAACCCCTCACGCAACCCTTCTAAACACCGCCAAAATGTCCAAGACGTTCACCACCCAAGAGGTCGCCCAGCACAAGACCGACAAGGACATGTGGCTCATTGTCGAGAACGGCGTCTACGACATCACAGGTACGGCGACCATTCACGCATCCTCATCATTACCCCAGTTGGCCTCCCAAATTTACGCCAAAACTGCATCTCACTCTGCGCCTCTCTCTCTCTCTCTCTCTCTCTCTCTCTCTCTCACCCTCTCACTCTCACCACCAACACACGCTTCCTCACCATCACCCATGATCTACTCCGTATGCTAACACGCCTATTCCAGCCTTCCAATCAGAGCACCCCGGCGGCGAAAAGATCCTCAAGCGCTTCGCCGGCAAGAACGCGACGAAGGTGTTTTGGAAGTACCACAACGAAAAGGTTCTCGAGAAGTACGGCGGCAAGCTCAAGATTGGCGAAGTCGCCGAGAGCGCAAAGTTGTGATTTTCAAATCGACATTTTTTTTGTGAAAATTCAGTCGGGTTTTGTACCAGTTCTTGTATTTCAGCATTTGCTTTCTTGTCGGCCTTCTTTTATAGCGCAATGGGGAACTATGTGCCAACCGCGGGTCTTCCCGAAGTACCTCGGAGAGTTGACGTATCGTGGGATCTATCGAGGGGCAGTTGACACGGGAAGAGTGAGGGCCGTTAGGATGAGGACGCGAGTATCTATGGGCACCTCTTCGGTTCTGGGGAGCGGCTGACCTCACCCTACGTCCCCTGGGGATAGATGAGCACGTATGAGTGGTGCGGAGGAGAGTTTCAATGGGCTATGCCGCAACGCATTGGCGAATCCGGTAGACGTAGACATCTAAACGGCTTTGAAGTCATGCATACGCCGGAATAGACGCTTATTCCCTCCATCTCAGGAATATTTCCGTCAACATTGGTCTTGCTTCGAACCATTTAATCATTAGATATATCTTCGTAAAACTATATGCAGTAGCTAAGCAGCATGACTGCAAAATATCATCGTGCAAGCTCTCTCACCTAGCTGCAAGCCGGGGATCCAAGTCTTCGTAGCAGCCAAGAAGAACGAGCGCACATCGCCTCAGGCTGGCCTCATCTGCACCCCTATCTTTTCCCAAGGGCAGCTCTCTGTCTCTGTCTAGATTTTTGTATCATTCGTTGGACCGCAGGCTTCTTTCTTGTGCGTCCGTCCGCTCGGTCTATCGCCAACCTCTTCCAAACCAAAAGACAAATTAGCGGCCGTCTTCCGTCTCAGCTCTTTCTCCTCCTGCTCTCTCTTCCCTCCGCACTCCTATTTCCAAGCCATAGAGGGTATACTGCAATTCGTGTCGTGCGTGATACAAACGGAACAAAGAGAAAATATGGTTGAAATGAGCGTGAGCCCAATGCTCATGCAATGCCGTCTTTCCAAACTGGAATTTCGTCTTTCTAGACTGGAAAGATAGGAAAGAAGAGGTTCGTTGACGAGCCCGTCGCTGATTTCCCGATCAGTACCCGCCGATGAGAGAGTCATCATATCTATCGGGGGTGCCCGAGCCGCTGCCATTGGCGCTGTCGCTGCTCGAGAAGTAGCTCTGGTCGATGCGGAAGATCCAGTCCATCTTGTCCCGCTCGCTACGTGCGGCGAACAGCCAAGTGTTATCCGTGCCGTAAATCGCGAAAACTCCAGCTTGCAGTCGCTCACTTAGCCTCTGCAAACCCCCACCAGGACCGTTGGCTGCACCACCGGTGCCGGTACCTGTCCAAATGGTTGAGATGACACGTCCAGATGCAGTTCGTCGATGGCTTGGGCGGAATTCTTCTACGCTGCCGTTGGTTTGCGAACCTGTGTCATCGTCGTCACCCGACAAGAGCCC